CTGCCGTGACCAGGATTCGAACCTGGGTTCTTGCGGCCACAACGCAATGTCCTAACCACTAGACTATCACGGCGACGGGTGTGTTGGACGACCACCTTATACAACAACTTTATCATTACATGGGAATGAATATTGACAAAAGACTGTCACACGCTCAGCCAGTTCTAGAGTGAGAGCTAAACAGCCCTGTGCGACTAAGTTCATTCTTCTGTTCACTGCCTTTTATAGGTAAGAGGTTGAGCCTATGTAAGCGTTGTTCAGTCGTGTCATGCATCTCAAGTCCCCGAGGAATAACTTAGTGGTGTACTGCTCGGGTTTTTTTTATCTGTCGTAAACGAACGTGGTCTAGTGTAATAAAAACCAGACGGAACCAATTACGCTCATTGGTCACAAGAACTGCGAATACCTGAAATAGCCTTCCGACAGAGGTCACTAATGCATTTCACAATAAGATGCAGAAAAATAATTGTACATCTGCTAGGCGCGCTGAACCACCTCGTGGCGCCGACTTCGTAGCCCGGACGTCAGTCTCGTTAAACTAAGAGTCCAGCAACTCCAGACAGAGCCAAGCACCCTGTTTCGAAAACGTAAAATACGGATCATCTGGTGCCTCCGCACCAGTATACAGGAGAGACTCGTGGGGCTCACGTGTGAGGAATGTGGCAAGTGCTGTAAATCGAAAGGTGTCTTGGTAACCCACTTTCGAGTTCACGTCCATAAAAATGTTTGCACGAACATGGTTGCCCAATCGACCCGCGCCGATTGATCTCCCCTTTATCCGACGAAGATTGGCATGAGTCAACATCGTCTGCACGCACACCCCACCCAGCATAATGCAGCTAAGATTGACTGAGTGAAGGATTCCGGTGTCTTCTGGTCTCAACAAGAGTCAAAATAACTATTGCGCCTGGCTGACAATCTATATACGTTTTGTGACCGGGCTGTTTGCGAAAATGGAACAGTATCTTCCTAGTCGATCAGCTACCAGCATCAAAACCAGGTTACAAGTGATTAACTGGCAAGCACAACAGGACGAATCATAATCTGGAGACCCTGACCCAATCATCGGTCAAACAGCGGCCTACTCGTCAGAAGCCGCTTGTGGGCCTCCATGCCTCCAAGATACTTCCGCGCACTTGGAATACTGTATTCCGATACCGTCGTCAGCCAGCCCATCAGGTGCCGGTCAATCGAAAGCAGATCCGCCGAGCTAACTATGCCGCCATCCAGACCGTATAACACCAAAGGCGGAAAAATGCAGCATCTGCTGGGCTCGATGGATTATGGAAGAGTCTATACAAGGGAAATTGCGGCCTACCTATAGACGCCGAGCAGTATTGGAAAGAGCTGGTCTCAGCTCCGGACAAGTCGCATAGTAGTCTGATCGAGCCAACTACAGGAGAGGAAGTCGGTCGTACGAACCGTATTATGGGCGATTCGTCCCTAGACCTGGACAAGCCCACGCACAAAATGCCATGCCAGTTCAATGCTAATGCGATTGGTGGGGTTTCAGTTTAGTCTTATTATCTGGGAGTTGTCCCCCACATCTATGTCATGCTCGTATTTCCCTAGTTGCGAAAGTCCTAAATCCGACTTCACCGCACCACCTGAGACCGATCTCCGTGTCATCCATTCTTGTCCGATGCTTTCATGAGGTGCTTGCTGATAGCCGCGGTCGTGGATTGCAACTGCCTTCACTCCAGTTTGCATTTGTACATCGAGACGGTTGTTTGGAAGCTACATCGCTATTACCTGTCTTACTTCGTCACGCTTTAGCGACTGCATCTAACCTTTGCTTGGCGTTTGGTGATAACTCGAAAGCGTTTGATTCTGTTTCGCATGACACAATCTTCAGATCTCCCAAGGCGTTTGGAGCACCGTCACCTCTAGTTCGATACATCTCACAGTCCAGTGGGAATAGTGTAGCAGTTTTCCCCAATTCCGGAGTTCACTGCCACAAAGGCGTGAGGCAAGGAGATCCACTTTCCTGATTATTGTTCATCACGGCAATGGATTGTCGTTGCCGCAACTACGATACTAGTTCCATGATACCCTGGTGGATAGTTTTGCCTTTGTTGACGTCTGGGTCGTGTGTGCAGAAAGTCAGGCTTGTCTTAAAAAGAAGCTTGAAGCTGCTGCGGTCGAGCTGGAAAGAAATGGTATGAAGATACACGCCCAAAGGACGAAGGCGATGATTTGAGGGGACAGTAAAAAGTCGGGCGACAGCAGTCTCAGTCAAAACATTTTGCTTCGCCGAGGAACTCATCACACTTCTGGGTCCGACAGACACCATTACATCCTTGGGTATCTCCTTTACTTCCAAGGGAAAGGAGTCTTCAACCATCGACAGCAGCTGCCCAGACTGTCTCATTAAGGCCGTATCAAAAAACGGAAATCATGGGACTGGCTGGCTACGCCTACCGATCAGCTACATCCACGCCGGCACACAACATGGGGGACTTGGTATCCCGTCTGAGTGCAACACATTCCCGATGCAGCGGAGAACGCGTGTGGAAAAGCTAGTTTCTACCCAGTGCCGAGTACTACGTAATGTGATCAACGATTCCGCATTTGGCAAAATTGTTTGGGATCTCAGCCTTCCAATCCGAGTCCATGGTGCGTGCGTAAACATCAAGGAAGAGCTGGTGACTGCTTGGGGTGATAGTCTGCACAACAGCGTTGACGGTCGCGGTTTACGAGAGTTGATCACTTAGCCTCTTTCGAATCTATGGCTCGTATTTCCAGAACGAATGTTTCCTCGGGTATTTATCCGCGGTATCCAGCTTTGATGCAACCTGCTTAGGACGAGAGCCAGAAGCGCTCGACACGGCCACGTTTGCCAGACGATCTTCTGTCGTGGAAACTGTGACCAACCGGAGAGTTTGGTGCACGTTTTGCAATCTTGCCGGATCACGCATGATGCCAGATGTGCTCGTAATAATCGGGTTACAAGGGAACTCGCAAAACGTCTCCGTCGACTGGGATACACCGTCTTCGAGGAGTTGAGAGCACCTACTTCGACTTCCTTCATCAAACCTGACCTAATCGCTGTTCCAGATCGCCGTGCAACTGTAATAGTCGTTGGCATAGTCTCCGATGGGCGTAGAGTAACTGTGTGGAATGAGAAGAAGCAGAAGTATGGTGCTGATGAATATTCCCTCGCCATAATCTCAGCCCTACGTGCAGTCGGTTGTGATGGCGACTTTTTGGTTCACAAGCCGGTAAGCATTTTTTTATCGAGGGATCTGGTTCCCTAAAGCCACCAAGGCTGTTCTTGGACTGAGACTCCTTAAGGTCGCAGTCAGTGGCTTGTATTTGCTTGTCGTCGTGGGCTCTGTGCGTACTTACGACACTTTTGTACGTTGTGCATTGCGTTCAATGTACATTCTCGCCATTGAATGTCACACCAGACCCAGTATGAGGGATTTTGTGCCTGATGTGCGAGTCTTGATTGTGCTAGCCATTACCGCGCCTTGGAAAGCATTCAGAATTGCTTGTCCTTTCCTCGGTTGTTGACTTTTACACGCGTGTTTCCACACCCAACATTCGTCTCGTCTGACCGGAACTGCTGGTGGCATGACTTCGAATGAGACGCTTCTCTTTTTTGTCTAATATTCTCCTTTAACCCTTCCACATTCATCCCCTGCATTTGATTTTGATTTCTGTGAGCATGCTCTTCAAAAATAAACGATCTTGTTCAAAGTGGTCTGCCAGCTCAGTTGGTCTTCAACCCCGAAATAAATACAACCACCATAGAACAGCTCCAGTTAGACAATCCTGGTTAGCAGACGACCTAGTCCTTTTATTCGCTATCATCTTGAATACTAGGAGTCTATAGAACAGGAAAATAACCCCAAGGGAAAAATTAAAGGAAGGTAAGATCGGGAAATCTTGGTGGTCATTCTGCTGCTGACCCTGAACAGAACTGCAAACACGGTCTCCCGGTGACCCTTTCCGGGCCGAAATATGCCTAGTAGATGTAATCCAACTAAGGTCAAAAGTGCCTGTTCCCTGAACGGTAAATGTCAGGGCTCCATTCTGTACAAAAGGCACGAAATAATCATCTCCCCTTCGGTTCACCTTCGGAACAACCTTCTCCTTGAAAGAAATGAGCTCCCCTTTCACTTCTGAATTGCCATGAAATGTGTGACATTTATCAATCCCAAACTTGCTCCCGCACTGTTTTACATGCCGTCAGAGTTCGAAGTCAGCTTTCAAAGATGTGGTCTGTCTCTCGGAGTCTCCGAATGGACTTTCCAACTGTATATGCAGTGTTCACATAAACATGGGAAGCGTGGCAGTTACGCCATCTTAGGGTTTTCCAAACAACACGAACAAAATAACTCAACTTCTCTAAACTCATATTACTGCGGTACAGGGCGTGAGTCCTCACGCCCAGTTGTGATGTTTGATGATATGTGATGTTTGTGGATTGATTCATTAAGATTCCGGGGACTACGTCTACCTGATGCGCCCCAAACAGGGCGAAACTGCCAGTAGAGTTTCTGCGGATTTGACGCGGATTACATGATAGGAAGGGGTTCACAGGTACGCAGCTGAAACAGGCCGTTTCAGGTGACAAAAAAATCATCGTCGAATACGCGAGGGAACTCACGAGTATCAACTAACTTACACCTACCAACGCTAATATGTGCGCCTCTAGGTGTTTCCCATGAATGTTCTACAACGACAAAACAGGGGACAGGGCGCGGTTTATGGAGGTTCGTTTCCTGTCTGCAATACGAATTCTCGAAGGCCAAAATCCGCGAACCTTCGCGAGGGAACTCACGAGAGTGGTTGTAAACACTTTTTTGAATATTTATGACGTTTCTTTTAAACGAGTTTGAGGTGGTGGGAATTGCCCCCCACTCGTATAGAAAACTGTTGGCTTTTTCCGGCTGTGCTTGGAATCTGAACCAACTAAGCGTTATATTGAGCGACCCACGAAACAAACCAGGCGAATAGGTAGACTACTCGTGAGTAGGCACAATTCACAAGGAATATTGTTGTTTTCGTTCAATTTCCGCAACACACTTCGACCGCGAACGGAGCTATGGTACCCTTTTCATCGGGAAATTTCTCAGTTAAGTGTTACAAGTACGTGGCCGCGGAAACATGAGTACAAATCACACTTGCATGGTCTGTGGGTCTCTGTGACCGAGCAGGGAGAAAACGTGAACGACCCTGGCAGGACTCGAACCTGCAATCTTCTGATCCGAAGTCAGACGCCTTATCCATTAGGCCACAGGGCCGTAGGAGGGGTGCAAATTCAATATACATGAAAGCTCGTTGCGAGTGTGAGTGCTCGTAAACGTTAAGAGTTCACGTAGGTGGTAATTCTCTGCACGAATCCTTTCTCAGCAGGATTCAATGGTGAATCGCAGGACATACAGGGATGGTACATCGTCTGCCAAGCAGGGTCCCCCTAGGTCCACAGGGTGCTGCAGAATCAGGGGTCGATCATGCTAAGATTTAGGTATGAAGTTGGACCATCAAGAAATTTAGCTCCCCTACAAAGAGATCCATTGGTCGCTCCAAAAATCGCAGTGGTAGTACAGAGGACCCGCTGGAGGGTAAAGTGGTGCACAGTCAGCGAACACAGAGAGGCCTCAGCAGTTGAGTTAGTTGGGTTGGTACATATCTCAGTTAATTGCGTAACTTTTGCTGTATCCGTGTGGATGAGCAGGTTACTGTACTGTTGGCCAAGGTTACTTGGAATTTTCTAAATGTGTGACTTAATTAAAGTTGGATATGAAAGAATTCAGAGGACCCTTGAACTGTTTTCGTGATGGCAATCCTGACAGCTTCAATATCCACGGACTCCAAGCTTGCAGCGCGTAGTTTACATGTTATACGAACTCATATAATTGTCTTCAGTACCATCTTTTGTAATCTCCGAAAGGTATAACACAGTGCACCGACTGGCCATTGGGCTAGGTTTCTGAGTTATTTTCAAAGCCAGTGAGAGCACACGATGTAGGACGGCGACAGGGAATGGCGAGGGGATAGTTCACAGCACTTATCGCTATTGGACAGCCTTTCTACTGAACCCACGTACAGCGCCTAAAGCTGACTCGATGATGGTGCGAACCTTGATAAGTTGATGGTGTCAACGAATTATTGGCAGGGTGAACTTACGGTTGCAGATGAGTCCTTGAGCCTACCTAAAATAAGGGGTGAGGAAGAACGATATTTTGAAGTACAAAAAGATAGTAAATGGATTTGCTGAAAAAGCAACTAGCTGATTCAAGAGTCATTCAGTTTTTTTTCATAAAACTAGGCGATACACTGATCTTCTGAACGTAAACCTGGCTCTAAAAGGGACGACTTTGAACAGGTCTCTGGATGGTTCCGAAAAGAGGACTACTGCATTGAGTGATTGAACATTTAAAAAAAATGATTGTCTCTATTCGCATTTATCTGAGTATAGATAGTTTTAAGCTGCTGGCTATCCTCTGAACGGAAACCTGGCCCTAAAAGGGACGACTTTGAACAGGTCTCTGGATGGTTCCGAAAAGAGGACTACTGCATTGAGTGATTGAACATTTAAAAAAAATGATTGTCTCTATTCGCATTTATCTGAGTATAGATAGTTTTAAGCTGCTGGCTATCCCCTCTAAATCTGATCCCACAACGAAATGTAAAGCTTTGTTCGGTGCTTAGATGACTTCCAGAAGTGATGTCATCATCTCACCCAGTAAGCTAAGCCCACAAAAAAGCGCTCTCTGGTTCATGTCAGATGACCTCATGGTATGAAACATATCGCTGAATCAGTCATCAATAATTTAGGACCAATTGGAACACCGTAGAATCTACAACGCAGCTTTTATCACTTTCCTTACCACATTCGTGAGGTCTAGTTTCCATATCCCAATGCCACAACAATTGCATTAGATTTTCACAATCGAACTTTCTTGCGAAACCACCGTAGGTTAGCTGCCGTACTACTGGACTACCAGGCACAACCCAACTAATAGGCAAAAACAAGTAAGAGATATAAAATTTATTGATGGAACTTGAAGACCTAGAAAGTTCTGCCAAATCTAAAATCAAAATATCAACAGTGCAGTCAATACCGACGTAAGCACAAAGTATAGCACACTCTGATTGAGTGCATTGTCCCCATGCTTCTCTGTTTCTTGTAATTCATCGATAACACAGCCTGCACCACAGGGCTTTGGAAGATGCAATGATCCCATCAATGGCTTTGGGTGTGATGCTGTGAACCTGACAAGATGATAAACGTGGCTTTGTTTGTTCCTCCACCAACTGGTAACCAAAGATTTGTGATGGAATGGAATAAATTTCGTTTTAGGTTAATCTAATGTTGATAAGGGTTGCATCTAGAAATTTACAAGCCTAAAAGTTGATAGTAACGTTTACAAAAAAGGCGGATGAATTTTTCATCCAGAATGCAGATACCATTTTCCTTCATTGAAAGGTTGACCAGTATCCGATACGGATTTATCCACCAACGCTGATTGGGTTACTGAAGCTTGCGCACACCTCTGATAAGACAAGCGGTTTATGTGAGGTCATACGTATTGTTCCGCGTGGGTATGTGAATCCCATATAAACTCAAAGAAAAAGGATAGGCAGGGAAACCCTAAGCGAGGTTTCCTTAGCTATTATTCTGTCTAAATATGGTAGCGCTACCTCTGCGTTGAACAATGAGTTATCGATGTCATTCACAGGCAAAATACCGTACTTTCCCCACAAAATATCATACAGTTATGTCTGTCGTAGACTTTCCAGGACGGGCCATTTCAGTTGTCATGGATAAACTAGCAGTACGTGATCATCATCGAAGACAGCAACATCAGTGTTGACACTGATGCTTCACTGCCGTACAACTAGCAGTACAGGTGCGGCAGGAACGTGATTTAGTGCGTTGGGAACAATCTCTCAGCTGTAACACCTTCCGTTGCCTAGCTGCCGTGCTACCCGAAGGAAGCACGACAGCTGGGATACTGCCAGGTTGCCCAAGCCTAGACAGGGGAAGTTGAGAGGCAGAGGTCGGGTTTGAACCACGGACCTTCCGGTCAGTAAAGTTGCGCTCTAACCACTTGAACCATCTCGTCCCAGGGAACATATTTAACGTCGGCGTTTCGTGATCGATACAGTATGGGAACGCTGATGTACCGCAGGTTCGATTCATCAGATGCCTCCACAAGTTGAGCAGCTCCATAGGTTTACCAGTGCCAAAAGTGGCTTACCTACGGGCATCGATATCAGGTCAGTCCCGCAAGGCGCTACACCTGTGTGTATGGCTTTTCTTCAGTAGTCTCTGTCCGAAGCTAGATCGTCCCATGATCTAAAATCAAAATCAATGTTTTGTAAAATCAGTTGAAATCTGCCTCTGTGTCCTAGCCTCGGTCTCATTAGGCTGCGTAGATCATTCTTCAGCTAATCATATGGCAATTCTCTTGGAATACGATGCGATGTCATGCTTTCCACGTGACGTAATTAGCACAGTGGATTGTCAATTAAAATGTTCTCGGTTCTGTGCATTCTGGCTCTGTAAAAAACGTGAGTATTTGTGATCTAGTTTGACCGATTCATTCGCATAATCCCCTGCAAACAGTACAGATAAAATCGATTGAGGATTTGGACGTAACACCAGTTTGTAGTTTTTGTCTCGCAGCCGTACGAAAGTTTAGACAATAAGATAGCACGGTACCTCGGATTTCTTGACGAATTTGCCTACATTGTGTTTCGGGTTCACAAACTTTCTTCATTGCTACGAAGAACATGGAATGATGACAGCAATCTGTGCGCAGCTGCATTTCTTCACTTCTGTTTCACCCACTTATTTTTCATCATGTAGCTTGCGCAAGAGTTCTGTGGGCTTGGTCCTTGAGGTTCAACCATCTTTTTGGATGATGCAGCTTGACAGGTTCCTCGGTATTCTACTGATCGCTGTGCTCGTCTGCCTAAACCTGGGTGAAATCACTGCGCCGTCAAACGAATCCTCTTACGCTAATTCCCTCATCCAGTTATCCCCAGTTTATCGACTGTTCGACCACCGTCCCTGCTGAGTTGGTCCTGACAGGCCTTTGGATAGTGTCCCCTGGAATTGAGTTACAGGCGCTGACATCTGGAGTGTGGGATCGGCAGCGCGAATTGCGGTCTTCTCTTCCTAAGCAGGTCTCGTGACTCTGATTGGTGGTGCCATCGTACGGAAACCACGACATAGCAAGTCAGGGCAGGCTCAGCTAGCTCGGCACGAACACATGGGTAAGCAGGCCAGTGGTATACGCCCACGTACACCACGCCAATGCACTACTGTCGGACGAGTTGGCCTTTGCGGCAAGGTGAATCGTGGGTGTGACAGCAAAGCGTGTGATCAAAAGTACATTGGCAAAATGAATGGGACAAGTTTCAAGATGTCAAGTTATATGCAGTACATACCAAAAACATCTCACCATCATCCTCTGACTTCACTGCTCGTGTATAGCACCTGGTGTTCCATGAAATATATTCTGGCCAGGTTGTTGACCTAACTGAATAACAGGCGGTCCCTGAATGCGAAATGTACTGTTCGACAACAAGCAAACTACCTTTTCGCTAGCTAGATCATTTTCATGAATTGAGACAAATCTTCCTCCAATTATTTTTTATCTTCACTAAGGAAACTACTCACAAGGTTGTTGAAAACTTTTCGACAGCCCATAACCGGTTTTGCCCTTCTTGGGGCTCATCAGGTAGGCGCAGTCCCCGAGTTTCCGTCAACCTTATGTTCTGCTTGAACTTGGACGGTTTTCGAGAAATACACTCAGTTGCAAATCAATTTGTTTTTCACGAGAGACTCAGCTGAATCTCATAAACGAGAGATTCAGTTGAGTCTCTCGTAAAAACCAAACTGATTTGCAAATGAGTGTATTTCTTATCTTCTTCATCTTCCGCACCGTGTCCCATGACAAAACTGATTGTCATCTAGTGCCACGTGGATGGTTGATTCCATGACCGGATGTTATTCTTGCTGTGTCGTAGGCTGTATTGCCGAACGGCAACCAGGCCTAAGTCCGTTGCGACGGATGTTTTCTCTTGCTGATATGGCGCTGTGAAGCACAATGACCGCTGCATTTGACACTGACAGTCTGTAAGGGGACAACAACCTGAGTGATTAAGTGACAGGCGGATGGACAAACTGTAAGTTTCGTCACTTTGAGCATCGCAACGGAACTTTGTCACTAAGATGTCGACGTGTGGAACGTCCGAACCTCACGAAGCTGTCTCACTCATCTAAACTCTCGAATGCTATTAGTGTGCTTGGTTAACGCGTTCGCTGTGATGGCGCATTATTTGTAGCAGTGACAGGACCACAACGACCCCGTGTAGTAGTGATCAACCGTCATGTCCGTTTGGGTGAAAACGCAAAAAAGCTGCAGCGAAATCCATCGATCTTGCCTGCTGGGCTGGCGAGCGAAGCACCGAGTAAGCGAGCGATGCTTTCGTGAGTAAATCTGCCACCGTCTCCAAGACCAAGCAATCAGTTGAGGGGTCCCACTGCACTCAGTACAGCGATATTAGTTCAGAATAAACCCACACAAGTATCGATTACTGATACGCTTGTCCCTCATATAGACAGTCTAGTCTACTTCTTGGGAATCTTGGTTGATCGTGGTTTCCGAGTCAAACTAGCGGGGGAATCGGATACGCTTCAATGGTTTGCACAGTCGAGTCTGTCTGTCCACACAGCTGTCTGAGAGTTTACTTACTGGGACTATACTTCAACATAATTGCTTCGTTTCTTATAATAATTCGCTTGGTGCCGTGAACGGAAGAAACTAACTTCAGACTATCGAAATAAGGCAGCGGTTTGGTGCCCTTCAAAAAATGTGATTGTCTCAAACATTCGTTTAGATATGCCTAAAATGTGAAATAACTTGACATCCTAAAACAGAGGTAGATGCATCTGTGTCTTTATACTTTCCAAAGCATGGTGTTACTCATGCTGTAGAGAAGTCCTACTGGTCGAAAGTTCGTGCCCAGGGGGAAGGCACTTTTGAAAATTGAGCTGGATCTGAAATTTTCTGGTTCTCATTACTGGTTCTTGTCCTTGGCGGATTCAGTTTGAACGACTGCATTTAGCGACCAGCCCTCGCTTGAATTTACAATAAGTTGCACTCGGAAAAAAGGAAATGATTTCGCTCGTTGCGAGCACGACTATGGTTACCAGCCACCCAACGGCTGAGCATGTAACGCTAGGAGAATTGCAAATGGTTAGGTAGGAATCAGAAGGAGGAAATAAACAGACTGTAGCCAAGCCCATCTCCAGCGATCAGTTAACTTATGACGAGATACCTGTAAGGAGAAGTTCCAGCACTCGAACACCTAGAAGACCTCAGCAAAGCTTCAAGGAAGCTCAAATGTAGATGAGTTAGGAGCAATACAGATTGTCCGCAAGCTTCATATGTCAAATAAGAGGAGAGATCGGTGAAAGAAGAGCATATCATGGCCGAAAACATTAGAAAATGGAAGAAAATATCGCTGATATCTGGGAGGGGTCTTGGATTACCCATACGAACACAGTTCAGCGAGCAATGTGTAATGGTATGTAGACTAAAAGGATCAACTAGAAAAGAGGGCTGAAAAGTATGTTCGTGGTATGGATGCTGCAAGTAAACTGAATACGGAACTCATTAACTCCATCTGTTCTGACGCAGGAGAGGAAACGGCATATTAGGAATTTTCATGCAGGAGATTAACGGAAAAAACGAACGAAGGAACCGGATATCTTACACCTAGGGCCTTCCAAAAACATATTCTAAGAAAGTGACAGGCGAACGTGAAGAGCAGAGGAATCTGGATATTGTCAAAGTAACTGAGACAGGCTTAAGCCGGGAAACCGATGATACGAACATATCATTTGAAGCAGACTCTTTTTTCACATGGACAGATAAACCAACAAAAGAAAAGGGATTCATGCTGCATACCGGCCTGATGTTTGGATTTAGAGCCACCTTGCAAACACAATTACCAATGGGTTGAACGAACCGTTGGCCTCCGTTATTCAGGGGAAAAAAGCGGGTCATGATATCATTAGCAATCTTCTACCGGGATTCTAACAACTTTGGTCTTCATGCAGAGATTAACGGAAAAACGAACGAAGGAACCGGATATCTTACACCTAGGGCCTTCCAAAAACATATTCTAAGAAAGTGACAGGCGAACGTGAGGAGCAGAGGAATCTGGATATTGTCAAAGTAACTGAGACAGGCTTAAGCCGGGAAACCGATGATACGAACATATCATTTGAAGCAGACTCTTTTTTTTCACATGGACAGATAAACTAACAAAAGAAAAGGGATTCATGCTGCATACCGGCCTGATGTTTGGATTTAGAGCCACCTTGCAAACACAATTACCAATGGGTTGAACGAACCGTTGGCCTCCGTTATTCAGGGGAAAAAAGCGGGTCATGATATCATTAGCAATCTTCTACCGGGATTCTAACAACTTTGGTACGAGATGAGTGAAGAAGTCCCAAGAAAGAGCACTGGCTCTTAACCATGTGCTCGAACGCGACTTTGATGCACTCAATGTAAGCTGGAAGGTGTGTGTAGTCATTTGCAATCTTCTACCGGGATTCTAACAAGAAGTCCCAAGAAAGAGCACAGGCTCTTAACCGTGTGCTCGAACGTGACTTTGATGCACTCAATGTAAGCTGGAAGGTGTTCAAAAATTTCTAGCGCATGTGGAGACCGTGCTGTAGACTATGGGGCAGATTATCTAACCTACTAGAATGGTAGAGAACCAAAGTGAATCTAGACCAGACTTGTCAGGCACAGAGTTTGAAGAAACCCTGGAGTTTGATTTATTTGGATGAATTACTAGGAACAAGTGACCACCTCTGCTACATCGGATGGCTAGTAGCAATGAACGCCCACGTACCAAATCCTTGACGAACGGACTCCGAGCAACTGTTAAATAAGGCGCGGCGTTCGAAAGGATTTCCGTTTTAATATGTTGGACGGGGCCTTTGAAGTGATACAGACAAAAATGGACAGACTTTTTGAACTACATATCCTAAAAACGAAAGCTCATGCAACAATCAGAGGGGCGTTCTGGATGGAACAGGATTTTCTAGGAAAAGTCGGTGCACGGAGGAGATTTCGGCCCTTGTACAAAAGCAGTGAACAACCAGAGGACCACACCAGGTATAAGAAAACGTGGAACAACTGCGCAACTCACAAGAAACAGAAACCTATGAAGTCTATGAAACCCAGTTGGCCGCGGAAGACCGACCCCAACAGATTGCATTTTTACACCAGTCGGAGACTCTGATACTCTAATGAACTGCTTATAAAGAATAACGGTTTAGTTTAGTTAACATTAGGGATCAACAACATAAATCGCTCCGTACCTGGAGGTTTGTACAGATCTTCCAGATACCCGAGGAAACAGCATGGACGTAGTAGAAGGAGAAAATTCGGATTCAAGGCCAAATATTCCAAATTGCAAGGAGGAAGATGTATCTATGATGGATCAGCGATTGAATGAAAAGAAAGCGCCGAAGGCAGGCAGTTTAGTTAATAAATAACACAGATATGCCGAATCAGTCGGTACTTTGTAAAAAGCCACCATGCAACTCGACGGTGACACGAAAACTGAGATACTTCAAGGTTGCCCCAAGCCTATATTGGAGCTATCTACGAGCCAGGTTTGAGTTTGAACCACGGATTTTTCGGTCGTTATTTTCATGCATTATTCACTGAGCTATCCCAAGCTCTCTTCTGCTCTCAAACTCTCTCATCTAGTCCCCGTACTACCGACACCAATTTTAACCTTGTGTGGCAGGTCGGAGCAGACAAATTCGGTGCCAAAAGCATGGAAACAGACACTGATTGAGCCCTTCTACAAAGGAGGAGGTACGCATAATCCAGGTCATTACTAAACGGTGAGCCTGACCGCGTTGTTTGGAAATAACATGGAGTGTTCGGTAAAAAGAATACTGATCGTCGAAGGCGGTTCCCATCCCTGGTCAACATGCGTTCACCAAACAGTTCGATGCCACTAGCTTGCTGTTCGCCGGAGAGGAATGGGCTATTGGGGTCACCGAGAGAGTTCAGACAGATGTCATACACGTGGATTTCACCAAGGGTCGATCACACCATTTTACCTGATCTCATCTTCCCTATTTACATTGTGAAATGTGTAGCTACACTTTCGCCACATACATGATTGTACAGGTCACCGCCACTCGCTGGATCACGAGATCTATCTCTTTTTCTTGCACTCACAAATCACGCCACACAACCGTGACTAACTTGACTACGCAGCTCACAGTCAAGCCCTAGATCCCAAGACCTCGTTTTTTTCCCTACACGTACAAACCACGATA